TAAAATAACGACTAATAATATGTAGAGTTTTTTTTTGGTGATACCTAAAATAATAGCTGCAAATAATTAAGTGGTGTCAATATTTTTATTAAATATTGTGAAAATTCAATAACAATAATGATTTCACCGAATTAGAAATGGATCAGCAACCAGCAACACATTGTAAGTTCTTTAATTTATTAGTGGGGAAAAAGAGGAGAGAGTGTACTTGCAAGGTACTCCGATGTCAAAGTAAGAGACGAAGTAGAAAGAGCAAATACAGGAAAGTGTGTAGAGAACTGAATACTTATCCCTTTAGTAAAAGAGGATATTTATAATGTGCCCCCAGCGCTAGACCAACAGTTACTTTGCACTGGGTTGGATTGCGAGACCCAATACGAGTAACTGGCAGAGCTTACGTGGTGTAGGGAAGATCAGCATGTGGTCCTCATCCTGGATTAATTGCCCCGTGATCTTCGAGAGATGGGCAGTTGTATGATGACGTGTCCCCGCATGGGAGCACATAGAAACCGTGAGGGAGACGTGTGAGAGCTCTCTATGGACATTGGAGGATTAGGCCTTCATTGTATTCTCCCCGACGGAGGGATGGATTGGACCGTGCCCGATGATGGACCAGCCTCTGGTCCAATCCAGAACAAATAATATCCTAAAAATTGTATACACGTATCAATTTAAAAATTATGATTGAAGGATATTTGTGTATTTTTAGTGGTAAGCAAAATTTTCTAAAAAAATAAAATAATATCCAAATTGGATATTTGTGTATTTTTGGTGGTAATAATAGTTTTAAACAATATTTTTTTTATAAAAAATTTGCTTATACACTGGTGACAGAACTATTGACGGTTCCTTTATGCATTTGTATAATGACATTAGTTAAATTAGTAACACCATATAAAGTCGTTAATCTAATTAATGTCTTCTCTTAAAAATATAAAGCTAATTCATTTGGCAAAAATACTTCATCCTCTGAAATATTTTAGAAAAGATTTAAAAATATAGATTCTTTTAGAAATTAATTTAAAAAATTAGATTATTTGAGTAAAATATTCGAGATATTCACTATGCTATATTTCTCCTCCTATTATAAGTTATTTAGAAGTCTCTAACCTCTTCTAAGATGGTATTAAATACTCCACACAAAGTACAATTAAATACCAAATATCAACCCTCTAATATCCATATTTTGGCCATCTTCTTCAAATGTCAATTATGATAAAATAAACCACCTACCTCGTAAGAAAGATCTGTTAATCAACAAAAACTTAACAATGATGTGTGAGAATGAAAGTTTCTATATTGAAACTAAAAAATAAATCAAAAGTTAAACAAAAAATTAAAAGATAAACTTTAAGATAGAAGTCACCCTACGAATATCAATTGTCTCATAAGGAAGGTTTCACGGACGTTCTGTTGAGGAGCCTCGCTCCTTTTGGTGTACTGCTTGAGACGCCCCTCTTTGATGAGGATTTCAATCGCATATTTGAGGTGGATGTATTCCTCTCTGACGTGCTCGTGGCTCCTGTAGAACCGACAATACTTAAATTTGTCAACATTTGGCTTGGGGGTCATCGGCTTAAGGAAACAGACACACCCTTGCTGGAATTCTGAGTTTGCAAACTCGTCTAGGATGCGCTCGCAGGGAGCGGCCAACAGTGTGTACTCGGAAAAGTGGTCTGCTAGTCTGCGGTGCTTGCGGAGTCGCGGGGCTTATCTTATCTTCTTTTCTCCCCACCACGTCGGAGAGCCATGGTGCCGTCGTGCTTCGCGAATTTGGTACCCTCTTGGTTCCGTGAGCCGCGAGCATTGTTGGCAGCCTATCTCACCTCGTACTAAATGTACGCTTAGGCTTTAAGGAGAAGGGCGTCCAGCAAGTGAGACGTCACAATGCACACTGCTTTGGCGAAGGCGTTGCGGAGACACAACCCTCGCTCGAGCAAGTATCTCTTCATTCGGTCAGTCGTGGAGATCTGAATGGCCTCCCGGTTGAATCTCTCTATATAGTCTCGTAGAGATTCGTCATTCTCATGAATAATGGCCTCAAGCGACGCCTTGGATTTCGAGTGTCATCGAGAGATATTGAAGTGCTTGGTGAACTGCATTTTCAGGTCCTTCCAAGAGGTGATGGATTCAGGGTCAAGGATTTTATACCACACCATGACTCCTTTCCTTATATTCGTGGGAAAGGGCCAACACTTGATGGCGCCCTAGATGTTGCAGTAATCGAGCATCCCATCGATGTGTCGTCTGGGTCCGTCGTGCCATCGTAGGTCGTCAGAATCGGGGGTTTTTCCATTCCGACAGGGATGTGGGCCTCCATAATTGCACGAGACATAGGACCACGGGGTTTTTCTTTGTCACTCCATACTGGTGAGCACGAAGGGGAGGGATCGTGATAGGGGCTTCTACCGCGGCGCGACGAGTTTCTTGATCGACCATTTGGCTTCTCCGGCTGCCCGCCGACTTTGCTTCTTTTGGGAGCCAGGGAGCCGTTCTTTGTGGGGAGGAGTGCGATCCCACTTCTGGGTGATTGCGGCTTGTGGCCTCTCTAGCCGAGGTCGACGCCCGGGTTGTCGCGGCGGGGGGCTTTAAGATTCGTCCCGTTGGTCTCTCCGCGGGGGAGAGTGATGATGGGTTTCTCGTCATCGCGGGGATGGGCTACGAGAAACTAGTCGCTGATGTCTCCGCAGGGGAGATCGCAATTGTTGTTCTTCCTCCAGCATTCCGATGCGTTCGTTATGCTGGAAAATCATCAGGTTCGTTTGGTTGATTGCTGCGAACAAGGCCGTCGTGGTAGGATCAGCGTTGGGCGACACATGAATTGGCTGGAAAACCACTGGAATTTCAAAACGTTGAGCGTCATTGTAGACCGCATTGTTGGGGGAGGGAGAGGCGGTGAGCCCGTCCCTAGGGTCACCTTCTCCAACAGCGGGCACCACGTTGTTGCCGTGGTCGTCAGCGAAGGTGCTAAATGTAGCTTTGTGGACGTTGTCGTCGACGTGTTGACTGGCCATGATCGAAAGAGATTGAAGGATTGCTTTGGTCCTTTGATTTCGGAGAAAGAAAAAATGGGGGAGCAAAATGTTCCCACAGACGGCGCCACTGATCTTACCGGATCAAAAAGTGGATCAGCAACTAGTAACACATCGTCAGCTTCAAGTTCACTTGTGGTGGAGAAGAGGAGGGGGTGTACCTGCAAGACACTCTGATGTCAAAGTAAGAAAGAGAGTGAAAGAGAAAGAAAGTACAAAAAACGAGTGAGTTCAAAATACATGACCCTCATGTGGAGGAGGGTATTTATAATGTGCCCCCAACGCTGGGCCAACGGTCATCTGCTTTGAGCTGGATCGCAAGGCTCGCAACATATGACTATCAGGATCCTACGTGGAAGTAGGGAAGACCCGTATGTGGTTTTCATCCTAGATCAATTGCCTCATGAACTCTGGAGAGTGGAGGACCTGTTATCTCGAACATGGGTAGTTAGTGATGACGTTTTCCCGCGCGGGAAATGCGTGGAAAATGTGTGATGAGTGTGTGGGGTGTGTAGCCTCCAACGATTATGCAAATTTAGACATTTGCGTTGGGTCTTCCCTAACGTGGAGCTAAGTTAGGTCGCTGGGTCAGCCTTAAATCGAATCCAAAAAAAAAAATAAAAAATAATAACGACTAATAATAAATAGAATTTTTTTTGTGATACCTAAAATAATAACTGCAAATAATTAAGTGGTGTCAATATCCTGCAAAAATTCAATAACAATAATATCCTAAAAATTGTATACACGTATCAAATTGAAAGTTATGATTAAAGGATTTTTGTGTATTTTTGGTGGTAATGAAATTTGATATATTCACTATGCTATATTTCTCCTCCTATAATAAGTTATTTAGAAGTGTCTAACCTCTTGTAAGATGTTACAAAATACTCCACACAAAGTCCACTTAAATACCAAATATCAACACTCCTAAATTTAGACTCATATTTTGGCTATCTTCCTCAAAGGTCAATTGTGATAAAATAAAACCACCTACCTCACAAGGAAGATCTGTTAATTAACAAAAACTTAACAATGATGTGTGAGAATGGAAGTTTCTATATTGAAACTAAAAATTAAACCGAAATTTAAAGATAAATTTTAAGATACAAGTCACCCTACGAATATCAATCATAACAAATAATACTCATCCATCATATTAAATAGGCTTATTTTTCAGAAATAAAGCTAAACGTAACTAGAAAAAGTGAAACCAAAACTAACTTAAATATATTAAAAATACTATAAATAAAATTTAACAAAAGAAACTATATCATGTCAAAGACAACCTAAAATACATGAATTAAACAAGAAAAAAAAACCTAGAAGCATTTTGTTAGTAGCAAAAATGAATAAACAAACAAAAAATGGCAAACTCTAAATATGAGTTTCACCAACCTGTCTTCCAATTTTAGCCCTAATACCAAAGCCTCAATTTTTTTTTATATATTAAGATAATTAATTTGTGTTACATATTCTTCTAATTCTAATTCCCACATTTTTAATCTCAAGGTAAATACCTAATTATAATGTTTTTTCATATATCAATCTTTCTTCATTTTCTTCTTCCTTCTAATTCTACTTACTTATTATGTGTTAATAATTTATTTACATAATGTTGATTCATGAACCTTTTAAGCCTCCATAGATTCCAATGGTTCACCTCATTCACCTACACTTGATTATAATTCATTAATAACCTTATTGTCTTTTTTTCTTCTTCTTTCATGCATGTTGAATATGAACAGTGTTGATTTGATTGTTATTTGATAATTAATCACATGATGATTTATTTTTCAGATTCTAATTAATTATATGTGTTGTTTTTTTTTGTTGATAATAGGTGTAGGTACAAGTGAAGGTTCAGTTTCTAGCATTTGTTGTATATGCGAAATTGTTGATTCTCTTCTACCTTATAACTTTTTTCTGATAATTCCTGTGAGAGTTCAAGAGATTTGATAAATAATCATGTGTGACACTATTTCTGGATCTGCTAATTTTGATAAACCCGTTAAAGGTTAGTGAGTTTATGTTCATTATTGCGACTTCATTTTATGTTTCATGATCATATTTGTATTAGAATATGAAATGTGAGAATTTCTCTTTTCTTTCTGCGAAAAATAGGTTTTGAGAATGAAAATTTGGAGGATGAAAAGTTGACAAGGCTTGGATCCTTAAAGAAGGTAGCAATAAGTGCATCTTATAAGTTCAAACACTCCTTGAAGAAAGGGCGAAGGCATGGTAGGGCTATGTCTGTTGCTGAGGGCGAAATCGATATAGAAGAGTTGCAAGCAATTGACGCTCTTCGTCAGATTCTAATCCAAGAAGATTTGTTACCCTCAAAACATGATCATCATCATATGATGCTAAGGTATAGGATTTGGATAATCATATAGTTTCTTCATAGTCCATAAATTGTTAGCTCAGTGTTAAAAGTTCGAGTTTGTAATAGCGATGGCCGAGCTCAAATATTAATGTGGTTTAATTGGTTTTTATATGATAATTCAGATTCTTGAGAGCAAGGAAGTGTGACATTGAGAAAACAAAGCAAATGTGGGCGGATATGCTACAATGGAGGAAGGAATTCGGCGCTGACACCATCATCGAGGTATATCGTTAGATAAACAAAGTCTCTACTCATGATTGTATTGTTGTTTGTGATTAACAGAATTTTTTTTTGGTTTTGTTAAGGATTTTGAATTCGAGGAGAAAGACGAAGTTCTAAAATACTATCCTCAAGGATCACACGGAGTTGATAAGGATGGAAGACCTGTTTACATAGAAAGATTGGGTCTGGTGGACTCAAACAAGCTAATGCAAGTAACAACTATGGAGAGATATCTTAGGTATCATGTAAGAGAGTTTGAGAACGCACTCAATGTTAAGATGCCGGCTTGTTCAATCGCAGCGAGGAAACACATTGATCAAAGCACAACTATCTTGGATGTTCAAGGATTGGTATGCATGTTTGGAAATTATTCTATCGATTTCCTATTATATTATGTAACTTGTTATGCAAGTCAAGTTTCGTATAAGTGATAACTATATCATGGTTGTTCAGGGTATTAAAAGCATGAATAAAGCAGCGAGAGAACTCCTCCAGGGGCTTCAGAAGATTGATGGGGACAATTATCCTGAGGTATAGTCTTACCTACTCAATCGTATCGGTTCAAATGCGATATTCTGAAATTACCTTAGTCAACTTTTTCTTGTTGTATAGTCCTTGAACCGTATGTTCATCATCAATGCTGGTTCTGGATTTAGGATGTTGTGGAGTACTGTTAAGTCCTTCCTTGATCCCAAAACCACTTCCAAAATCCATGTAAGTTTCTATTATTATACTCAACAGTTTCATATAATGTTGAAATCGGTTAAGCAGGAGAATTAAACAGTTTACTAGGTAACAAATACTAAATTGTTGTTGATCAGGTACTAGGTAACAAATACCAAAGCAAGTTGCTCGAAATCATCGACGCAAGGTATGTATTTTCTTCTTTCTCATTGAAGTATTTTTGCTTATCTCGTTCTAATCACCTTAACACCTTGCTTGTGTTTATTATTTACCAGTGAACTTCCCGAGTTCTTGGGGGGAACATGTACTTGTGCAGACAAAGGCGGTTGCATGCTTTCGGACAAGGGACCATGGAATGATCCAGAAATTTTGAAGGTAGTTTCAGTGTTGAAAGATAAAACAAAAAAGCTAGTTTTATAATCAAAAATGAAAATACTAAAGCGTTTTTTTATACTAGATGGTTCAAAATGGTGAAACAAATGTCATAACGAATACTTTGTCCGGGATTAAGGAGGAGAAAACAATCACCACAGATGAAACATTGTGTCCAAAGGTAGTTAGCTTCTTACTTCTTTATTGTTTCAAGTGCATTTTTTGGTTATAAAACTCGATATTGTTTCTTTTTCTTAGGATATTAAGGAACGTAATTCTTTCAAAAAAGACTACGCTCTTGAGGAGGCACGTCATGCTATAGCAGAAGTAAGTTTCATTACTTGATGAAATGTAAAAAAAATGATGATTTCACAGTCATTCCACTGAGTTTCAACTGCGAAAATTCTATATTGCAGGTAGCAAAACATTGTAATAATGTATATAAGTTTGACACCTTGATCTCGAAGGAGAAACCAATTTCTTGGAATGAAGCAATACAAAATGATAAAAAAGCGTTTTCTAAAGGTGGAGATTGCTGTGCAAACAACAACATTTTCAAGACTTCAACAACATTTAGAAATCACTTTGCTGGTGGAGTCATGGGCATTGTTTTGGGACTCATAACGTTAATCCGCATGACACGAAACATGCCAAAGAAAGTGACTGCAATTGCACTGTATCGTAACTCGGTATTATACGATGGCAATAGGATGAAAGCAGCGCCGGCCATATCCATTGACGCACGCATGGCTTTGATGAAGCGCATGGCCGATCTAGAAGAGAAGGTGAAAAATCTCACCATGAGTCCTTCCATGCCACCTGAAATGGAAAAATTGCTCAACACTGCTCAAAGCCGCGTCGAAGCACTCGAGCAAGAGTTGGCTGCAACCCAGAAGGTACAGTTTTTCTCGGTACTTCACAATTTCGTCATCGCTTTTAAAACATATTTCTAATTTTACTTGCTCTTTTTTTTAGGCACTTGAAGATTCCCTTGCTAAGCAAAAGGAGCTTCAATCAGAGATTGACGTAAAGAAAAAGAAGTTTGTAAGTCACTTTAACTTTGACACTGATCAATTACTTGCCATGCAAGTTTCTATATACTATTTTCTCTGATGCAAGTTTTTGTGTTTGTGATTACAGTTCCGCTGGTAATTAAGGTGATAGGTGTTCCTGTCTAACCTCAAAGATTAAACATTAGTTAAAGCGTTGTAAATTTGGTGGCGTTTCTCTATCATATCAACCCCATGCATGGATGCTATAGCATTCAGCTTTGTGTAATTATTTTTTTCTGTGATATATAAAACAATGTATCATCCTTCAAAATTGTGTATACATATATGTTAATAAAACTAGGCAACTTAACAACTTCACAATTTTCTGTATAGTATATAAACAATGTATTAATAGAAAAAAGGGACAAAATTCTAAAACATACAAAGAAATAGAAATGTGTAAGATATTCATTATGGAATATGGATATAACTTAACAACTTCATTTAATTCTTTGAAAATTGGAGTTTTTTTATAAATAAAATAACCTTTTAAAAAAAAAAATCTTAATCTAATCTAGTTTTCAAAATATATCCAAAATATTGAGCTGAAAATGAAAAATAATAATCATCATTTAATACCCTTCTTTGGCGAGTGGGTTATGTTGTTTTTTTTTTTTTTTTTACCTTTTCTTAATTTTTTTGGTTAGATGAGAAAAAGAAATGAAAAAAATGGATTTTATAAAGTACACACCAAAAGCATCAATTAAAAAAGTTGATGACAAATTAGAAGGAGGATCCTTAAGCCAATATGAGAATATAAGTTAATAGCATCCATTTTTTTAAATAAGCAAATTATATTGATTAACCCAAATATACAATTGATTATGATTGAAATTATGATTCACACATAATACAAAGCCTACAAAAAGTTATAAGGACTATCAATCCATTCATAATAGGAAACCTACTTATGTTCTTAGAACTTGAAGCTAACCACCACTGAGAGGAAGAAATTGTCATTTGAACAATAACCTATGGATTTTCAACCTCATCATTGAATATTATTTGCTTCATAGAGAACCAAATGTCTCAACAGGTTGCAAACCATAAAAGACACGCCTTTTTAGGATAACATTTCCTCTTCATCCTTTCAAACCAAGCCAATAAAAAATTGCAACAATCAACTTCAATACATCTTAGAACACCTACTCAATCCAACACCTTCAGCCAAACCAACAGAATTCTACGACACGCACAGAACACATGACTAGCATCTTCTTCAACCATGAAATAAAACACGCAAACAGTAGCATGGACATTATTCAAAATAATTCTAGATGCCAGATTAGCTATTGTAGGTAACCTATCCAAAATCATCCTCCAACCAAAAAGCTTTTGCTTTCATCGGCATAGTTGTATTCCACGGTAATTTAAGTGAAGATTTGTGCCTCTCAAGCGCGTACACACCTCCAATAATCCTTTGTCGTCTTTCATAACAAGAAGCAATTGAGAATGCGTTGTTCTCACCCCAAGGCCAGATTAATTTATCTGCGACCCCCACTGCTGGACAGACTTCGTTCAACAAATTCTGTAACTCTGCAGTTTCTGCCAGCAGAATATGACTGCAACACAAGCCCAATGCATCCACGTTCCACATCCAACAATGACAGTCCCAGCTATTAACGTCCTTCACAACAACATTTATAACATTAGCAGACTCGAATAGGTGAGGAAATATTACCTTAAGATTATGTTGGTCTATCCATTTTCCTGTCCAGAAAGGTACAATAGCTCCCTCCCCCGCCCTAAAAGTGAGCATATCAATGAATGATCCTTCATACATTTCTCCCCCAACAACATTAAATCGCGCCACCATAATAATTCAATACAAGTGCCTCCACTTAAATCCTTGTTGAGGACCCAACTCAAGGTATTCTCGTATTTGTGATTGATAATACCACGCCAAACCGCCCCTTCCCCCGTTAATATTCTCCACAACCATTTTGATGCGAGAGTCCTATTGAACAAAGCATTATCTTTAATTCTCAGCCCACCTTGCTCCTTTGAACGATAAATTGACTCCCAACTAAACTAAGCCACATTGTTTTTATCCGCCGTTCCAGCATACATAAATTTTTGTTGAATTGATACAATTTCCTTCAATACCATGTATGACGCATGAAAAATGAAAGATAATGAATCAGAAGGCTCATCAAAACAGTGTTGATTAATGTTACGCTTCCGCAATGGACAACATTTTTCCTTTCCACGATGAGAGCCTAGTCCTTAAATAATTAATGACAGGTCTCCAAAATAAGCTTGAACAAGACCGCACCAAGAACTTGAACGAGACCGCACCAATTTTACAAGCCAAGAATTGAGAGGAAGCCTTGATAAAAGTGCCGTTCACCCCAACGCCCAAAATACTACTCTTCCAGGCATTAATCTTCAAATCGGATACCATCTCAAAGCCACACAAGATTGCTTTTAAACCCCCACAAGTTAGACTAAACACCATCATAAAATAGTATGGTATCATCTGCGAATTGTAACAGATTATATCAAGTGTTCTCGTTTAATTCCAGCCCTCTTAAGATTTCCAAACTACTAGCTCTTTTGACCATTAGTGTCAACCCTTCCGCAACTAAAGTGTCACGGTGAGAATTGAATATCAAGCTATTGATTAACTTGAATCGCAAATCTTAATTCACCACCAATTTTTAATTTTTCCAAGGGAAGGGAAAAAGAGCGAATAACCCAAAATATGCAATGCAATGCAATGCAAAAGTGAATATAAGGTTTGGGGGTTGATTAAACATAGGGAAGTTACTAGCATCCTAAGCATCTGTATTACTCTATAAGAACCTCTTCTTCAATTGTATTATCTGTTATTTGTCTGCTAAAGGGTGAAAAGGTAGAAGTGAGACCTAAGGTGTTATTTCTAAGTATGTTCGCCAAAACATTGCATCAGCGTTTCCATTTTCCTTCTTTCCTGTTGCAATTCTCTCACATTTGTAGCTTTTCTCCACAAGTTGTGATCGAGTCTTTGTTTTCCCTCACGCGCATAGTTTTCCTACCACCACTTTATTGGAACAACGACAAGCTACCTTTCTCACTCAAGTCTCTGACTCAAAAGCGAAAGTGAGACAAAATCGAAACCGCGATTGCGTAACGTTTAAACAGGGCACAAAAGGAATGGATCGAAATACTTACAATGAATTATAGGCTTGTTAGGTGCGAATTTCAATTCTCTTCTTCTACTCATTCTCCATTTTCACTTTACTATTGGGATTTTGTCTGCGTGTTGATGTTCTCCATGCGTATATTTATGATGTATGATATTTGTCTGCTATTTCATGTGTTTGTGTACATGATGCTTGTATGCTGATATTGCTTCTAGTATTCGTGTGAATGTGTATGGTTTTATGTGTGAATTTTCCTGGTGTGAAAGCTATGATTCTTTCTCTCTTTTTGTGTGTGCATGTTACTGCTTAATTCCCTTTTTTTTATGCGAATGCATGTGATGTTGTATGTGTACGTCGCCTCTGATATGGATGCTTCTTTTCAAATCGTGGTTACTGTTAATGTGTGTGAATTATGGTCTGCTGCGACTTTTTTGTCTGTCTCTTATTGAAACTTGTTAACCATGACTTATTGTTTGTAACTTTAAGGAAACTGACATGGGTGGCGTGATTCATAAATGGCGGCTGTACAGTAGGCATGCTCTTGTCTTCTTGTCGTGAATATGAGAGGTGGAGCCTACAAAGTTAGTGTGCAGTATCCTTCGAAAGCTACATCATACCTCATGTTCTCAATTGATGCAAGAAGACCATTACTTTAAGCCTCAAGCCTCTTCCCGTTAGTGAGAAATGGCTTCCCATGGATGTTTTCATTAAATCTCAAGAAGAAGGCATATATAACTCTAAATGGTCTTTCAAACCAATTTCATCGAATCTGAATCCTTTCTTAAAATTTGGAATGTATCATGGCCTTTGAAACTGGTGTTTGAATCTTTGGAATTAATTTAGGCTTGGATATGTTTTAAGAATATGAATCTTCATTTTGCACTTTGTGGCTTGTAACTTTGTTAATGATAACTCCAAAATTGTTTGACACTTGAAACTCACTTGAACATGGGTTGGCCACACTTAAAGCCTTGGTTGCAAATTGGAATTGAAACATATCACAAAAATATCACAACAATCTGAATTTAATTCATGGTTAAAATCTGAATTTAATCTGAAGTCAATTCATGACCACACTTGTAACTTTGTTAATGATAACTCCAAACGTGACTTGAAACATATCACAAAAATATGAATTTAATTCATGGCCAAAATGAGCGTGAAAACTTCTTGAAAGTATCATGAGACATGGCCTACAATCATTTAGAACCATTTTGAAATATGACTTAAAATCAACTTTATGTAACTCTTTTGCCACGAAATCCACTTTCAACCAAACTTTGACAATCTTGATTGAATTGAACTCACACAACCACTTGTAACAATCTTCAAATTAAATCTTAATTCTACTCCTCCATCCACGGATAACTTGTATTACAAGAAGTAAGCATAATGAATCCTTTGAACGAGTTCTTAGGGAAAGTAGCTTGTCATGCCACCCTAATTCATGCTCTGAAGAATCTCTGAAGAAGATGAATCTTGGAATGAAGCCTCAACCATATGATCTTTTAACCATAATCCTCTTGCTCATAATGATTTGGCCTCACCAATGACCATGTCCAACACCATTAGACAGAAACCCTAATTCTCAAGGTATACCCTGAAGCTTATGAGAAACTTTGGGGAAAGTGACTAGTCGGAAACCCCTAGGATCACTTTCAATCAGAATCAGTTAGTCACCTCTTAAAGCACTAGACTGAGAAAATGAGTATTATCTACACTTGAAATTAACACACCTGCAAAAATTGGTTAGTCACAATAAACACGCACACGTAATTCTCAGAAGATAATGGCCAAAGAGAGAAAACTGAGAAATCTTAGGGTCAAAAATTAGGGTATGACATAAACCAAAAAAGGAATAGAGACAATGGGTATCCTTGTCTCAACCCCCTTGAAGCCTTAAAGTCCCTAGTTGTGCCACCATTCACCAATATAGATAAATGACTAGTGAGTACGCCCTATTTCCTCCATTTTA